AAATTGCACTGACGAAAAAAATAAAATAAAAATAAATAAAAATACAACTTCATACTACACAAATGTTGGTTCCATGAGTACTGATACCCAAAATGAAATCAAACACTGTATTGAACAACTGAATTAAATAAGCGCCCAATGTGAACAAAACAATTACAGTACAAAAACAAAATGCATTTTTTTTTTCACTTCCAGTGCCATATCGTATATCAGATGAATTACATTTCCTTCTTATGAAACTAAAACAACAACAGTAAGAATAACAATTTATAACAAATGCTACAAATACAATTAATTAAAAATTAACACAGAAAGGAACAAAATCATTTAATTCTTACTGAAAAATAAACAAGGTGTTGATCTTGTGGGCTTCTTTCTTTTCATTGCCAAATAATTGCAACTGTTGAAAAAAAAAAATCTTTTTTTTTTACCTACTGGTTAAATATGAGACAGTCTTTCTGAAAGGGTCTTAAAAAGAGGGAGGTATAGTATATTGACGTGTGGGAAACTGGGAATCGGCACAGTGTCTTGCAATTCACCCTCATACAGTAACTGACAGCAGGCCGTAACCAGAGGCAACTTATCAAAGAGAGAATACAGGGAACACCCACTCAGTGTGCAATCACATGGCTTATATGTTAAGACGCTGTTGGAAAGCATCCTCTACATCCTTTGTAGTTGAAGGGCGTTTGATGAGATGCTTAAGCAGAATCTGATAAAACTGTAGCATGCACTTGGTGCATCTGGTTTAAACTGATTTACAGTAAATTCATTTTTGTTGAAGTACACAACTGTGATTCATAAAAAAAAAAAAAAATATCAAAAAATCACAAAATGTGCGCTCCACTGTGACATTTGTCCTCCAGCTTTATGAATAGTTTGTTTCACAAGATTTATAGAGCTGGCTGTAAAACAAGTGCAATTTGAGCATGTAAACACTGGATATTTCTTTTTTTTTTTTTTGTCCTGGCTGTGGAGATGAACTGGATGGTGTAGAGTAAAAATATACGAAAATAAACCTTTTTTTTTTAAACTCGGGTCATGCAAACCAAAACCTACAAGGTGTGAACAAAATAATGAATCCACCGGTGACAATTTGCCTGACAGAAAAGAGCACAAATTATATGAAATGTTTAGTTCGACTTTCTATATTTAAATGTCTGCATTTTTTAGAACTAAGGGAAATGTGATTTATTTCTCCAGGCTACAGTTTGCTAATCATGATCTAAATAAGCTCAAGTTTGCTACAGTCCAGCACAGACTTGCTAGCTATGCTCGATGCTAGCTATAGTTGTTTGCTACAGTATAGCACAGACTCCAAGCAGCTGTGCCTGGGCAATTAGAAAAGTGCCTTGCTCAAGGGCACTCCTGACTTTATTGTTGAGGAACAGGAAAAAAAAACATCCCACTCGCCCTCTTAAGGCAACCCTGCTCCTCTGACTATTGTAAGATAGCTAGCTGTTTATGTTTTCTGATAAAACTCTTAGACAACTGAGTGCTTTGTGAGTGGCTGAGGTAAGTAGACTGTGCTGAATCTCCTAAAAAATACATCAGGTAACAAACAGATAAATGTACAAAGCCTAAACAACAGAACATCACTTTTAAACTCGCTAGGAATTAACGACCGCTTCAGTTAGCATTAGCGTTAACCTCATGAAGCTAGACACTCCATCACCGCGAGAACTTTGTCCCAATTTCGTCATTATTTTGTTCACACCATGTGTTCCTTTCTGTTGTTTTTTTTTCTCTGTTTTTTATTCTTTTTTTGTTAAGGTTTCGTTTGCAGAAGTGTGCCAATGCTAGAAAAGCTGTCCATGCCATTAGCAGTGAGGCTAGCTGGTATTAAGAACTGCCATGTTTTTGTTCATGCATTAAGAACTATTAAGTGAAAGATATATTTACAGTACAATTCACATGTAATTACACATATACACTAGAGGCAAGAAAATTCACATTGAAATCAGTTCAACACTTTTTACCCTCCTTTTTACTTATTGAACTCAAGTGTTCGAAGGAAGAAAAAAAAAATCCTCTCCAAATAAGCAAATATATGAAAGAAAAAGTTTCAGAACAGAATGTCCTCACAGCATTTGGGATGAAGGTGCTAATTTCATGTCCAGAAAGCTGGTAATACATGTAGTGGTTGAAATGAACAGTGATGCGATAGTGATTTATTTTACCCCTCATGTGTTTAGTGTACTAAATGAAAAGTACAATACCTGAAAAGGCATTCATTTCTGGGAATAACACCAACCTGAATAAAGGTTTGATACTTGAGTTGGTTTACATTAGAAAAAAGATATACTGTAAGTGCATCTCATTGAGACCACGGAGCAGGCAGGTAAACACAGTAATATCTGCCTGGTTTGCAGTGGAACAAATAATATTCTCTGGCCTTATATTCTAAATCTAAAATCTTCATAAAGATCTATCATATTTTTATTAGAACAGGGTTACTCTGATTTTTGCAAAACAAAACCAAACAAATAGTATACATTTGACACCTATTTTTTCCACTGGTGTAAAACAAAAAAATGTGGCCATCTAAAACAGCCCTAACTCAAAATTGTTACCCACATCTAACAATTTATAAAGTGTACCGATTTCGACATAATCTATACTTTGGAAACACAGTCACGTTTCACTCATTAATCTGATTGCAACAAATAACTGGCTAAAAGAGAGCCACATCTATTAATGATGCCATTTGAGCATCTCCCATAAGAAAACTTCTGTAAGCCAGAAGTTATAATTGCAGCATACGTATCACAGGGATGTCTATAATGAGTTAAAGGGGAACAGCAACGCTGAAGTGAGTTTACAGGTGTCGGGGAGTACTACTGCATATGTGTAAGAGGCTGAGTAAAGTTTTTATGCCCCAAGTACTCTCAGAAGATTGAGTTTCACTGTGGGGAAAGGGGGTAAAGAAAAAATATATTTAAAGGCGAGGGAAATGAAGGTTAAAAGTGGATCTATTTTGTCACAGCTTTAAAGCCTCTGTAAGAAGTTTATGATTGGGATATGAAACCGTTATGTTGAATCAGTAAAGTGCTTGGACATCTGGCACTGGGCAAAGGTTCGTTTTATTTCAGCATTACTTTTGAATCCAACTTTGATTTCCCTACTTCATCATTAACGAGTGTTACCTGCCAATTGCTTGGAGAAGGTATGATAATAAATTTGAATCAATTTCCTAATTACATGAAAATAGATCCTTTGAGTTCAAGTACATGGATGTTAGAACAATTAAAGATGGTGCTTAAAATGTGACAATGCTTCATGAAATTCTTTTAAAAGGAGATACTCAAATCAAAACCCACACCTCTGGCCACAGCACTGCACAAACGTCATTAAGACACACTGGTTTGTGATCAGTATTCCTTTTAGAAGAAATCCTGTGCATACCGTGTTTTAAAGGAGAATGCATGTATCTGATAAATTGATATCTCTGCTTCTCCATCTGCAGCTTTTCCATCTTTATCTTGTTCTCCCAGGATGTAATTCTTCATACTCTTCATATAGTCTATACCTGGAGGAAGATTTCTAAGCCACTGTTATTTGGTCGACATGATGTTTTTTGTTCTGTTTTTGCTTTTGGACTTAATTATGGTTGGCATAAGGAATAAAAAAATCTCTGCCTCTGTTGTTCTCCATTCAAATGTAATAAAGAATCTTATACAGTGACGTCGGATTGAGCACACAGTAGTATCCATCAGAAATTCTTCTTTGGCTCAGCACCAGTTCACCCCTTCACAAATGTATGCCTCTATTTAGTACCTGTAAACAAGATATTAGAAACCCTTTAATTTAATCAATGGGTACGTTTTATCGGTTATCATTTCACTGTAGCTTTATTTTCTTATTCCCCTGCCAAAAAAAGCCAGTTTCACTCAATTTTTTTCTGACTGAAGGTAAAATTAATATATTATTATAATATAATTATAATGACCCAGCCAGAATCTGAAAGAGAGTCTTGAGAGGGGGCTGAATACTACAATGATGGTAAGGAAGCCTTTAATTCTCAAAGACTTTCAGCTCCAAGCTATATTTAAATAAAAAAATAAAAGACAGGAGTATTGTTGGTCAGCAATTGTAAGAACTGCTCAAACGTCAATATTTTTTTTTTAATCAATTATGTAAAAAGCCGTTTTTTGTGTACTGAGCATCCAAAAATTACAGTTAGGAAATGGTGAAGGGGTTAAATGACTGACACTTTCCTCCCCATAAAAAAAGGTAAGTATAACCAAATACTATGTACCGGTACCTCTATTCACTTTCTCAGAATTTCATTAAATTCATGGCTATTTCTCAGACTGATTTCCCTAGAGGTCCCTCCTAATCCTCATGGAGTTTTGTGTAACTGTTGAATAAGGCTACTATGACAAACCCTCTTCTCTCTACGCCTCTTTCCCGGAGTGCCCAGTACTATCTCAATTCAAAATCTTCCTTCCTTCAGACACTGTGACTTAAACACCAAAAATGCAGCGTAAACAAAGGAATACAATATACCGAATGATGGCTGTTGAAAGAAACATGGGTGGATCTTTGTGAATATACATCTTATATCTTTACAGAGGAAATACTTTAAACGAGTAACAAAAGCAACCCCTCCCCCTTGTTTCTGTGTAGCAAACACAAAGCATGGTCCGACGTCAATGAACTCCTGCATCTAAGCAGAATGTGATTCAACACTTAGGAGGAAAGAAAAAAAGCACAAGTTTATGTTCATGAGAAAGCTGAGTATTTGAAATGTACAGAATACTTTTCCCATATTTTTTTAACAAAATCAGCGATGCATACTTTTGACTCTTTTACCTCATAATGCCCTAGCACTAGAACATGTTCTGACACTCTTAGAAATCACAGTTTGTTTTTTTTAAAGACAAATCATATCTACAATAAGCAGTGGTTGCTTTTAACTAGAATGAAAAGGAATCCCCATCTTTTTCCCCTTCCCAAAACCCCACTCCCACCCACATCCCACCTAGGGTATGTTTTTAAAAAAGAGGAAAAACAGGAACACAAGTTTAAGGTTAAACTGTTGGTGTAAATGCAGCGGTTTAATAACCTATCAATATGCCAACCAAATGGAGACCATTTAGCTGCACCTGATGTCTGATAAGGTGAACAATATTCACTCTAAAAAAAAGCCAAGGAACACCACATAATCCAAACAAGGTCGCTGTACATTGTAGAATTGTAGGTTTCCGTACGTCATTCTGTTGGGTAATGGCAGAAGGTGAGCGGGGATCAAAGGTGGTGCCAAAGACCTCACTGAGCCAACGCCGGGACAGACAAGCCACTGCTGATTTCTCAAGCTGTTGAAGAGGATTTCTGAGTACGATAAGTATCAATAAAAAGTCAATGGAACTCTGAGACATCTTTTCTCTATCAAGAGTGTTCACTTTTTCTTTTTAATCTTTTTTTTTTTTGCTTTTCTTTTTTTTTTTTTAGCAAAAATATCATGCAGTCTTTTGTTCCGAAAACCCCTTTGATGGGGAACATGTTTGTTTCAGGAGGAAAAAGAAACTCAAGGCGTTGAAATTCTTCTCGCACAAGTATTCTTAAACATTCAAGTCATCCTAGTAATACTCTGTACAGCAGAAAGGTCCTTCAGATTTCACATGTGTATATATAAATATAATATATGGAAATATGCATATACATATGTTCAACTTGTATATGTGTATACATATTTTGGAACTGTATCAAAGCCAATTTAATGTGCTCTCAAAATATGGCCCATGATTCCTAGTGGGATGCACATCAATTCACATAGTACAACCAGTAGATTAGGTTGAAAAATCCAAAGGTAATAGGGAAAATGACCCGGGACCACTTGTCAATGGTGCTAACATCTGACAGGTTTGGGATTTTCAACTTGAGCTTTGAGGAGCGTCGTCGTAGCCGACAGTTGGCCCTGCTCCGCATGGCGCTTCGGTCCAGTGAGTGGGGGCTGTAGCCATCCCGTGGAGTCATGGGTTTCCTAAACTGGACCCCGGAGCTGTCAAAGGACATGACGGAATTCCGAGAGTCACCGATGCTGCTACCCACGTCAGAAGGCATCACCTCGTTGTTCATGTCCAGTGTTGTGAGGAGGATGTTTCCATAAGCATCCACCTGCAAAGAAAGGAAATACGCACAAAGTAAGAGGAAGGAAAAAACATCCAGCAGCACCCATAAAAAATCCCCTACAACTTCTAACATGACATTCTAACCCCCCCTCCCAAATGCTCAAGCTTAAGCAAAATGCAGGGATGATATGGAATGCAATTTCTTGCATGCAAAATAAATAATTAGCTTCTTTACACATACAAACATTAGCATTTTTAACAAGTAAAACATTGACATTTAATCTGAAAAGTACTCATTATAACACCCATAACTGATAGGATTACTACAGTAAATACATGTACCCCAACTTTTCTTTGTTCCTCGAGATACAGATTTCTTCGTTGTGTAAATGACCTGAAGGTGTTGGTTTGAAACGGCACGGAAATGGAGTCCTTGCAATGTGAAAGAAAAGTGAAACAAAAAAACTCCATTAAAACGACTAAAACACAGACAGAAAATCACAGTTCTCAGGAATTGCACAATGTGTAGGACAGTGGCAGTTAACAGGAAAAACTTTCTGAGAAGGTACAGCATTAAAAGCTTCACACAAAGATTCAGAGAGGGGGCTTCATTCATTCTCACCCATTTAGCAACCGGCTAGGGAAAAACGCCCTAGTTACCATCACTATATTTCTGTATGTTTTCATGCCTTCTTTGATTTTGCTGGAAAAATTCTTTAAATACAAGGTAGTGGAGTGAGAGTGAATAAAGCCTACAGCATCAACATAGACTACAATCTAAATAAGAAATGAGAATGTTTACACCACCGTTGAGTTAGATGAATAGGTATCTCAATGAGAAAGTCTTTGCTCAATATAAAGCAGTCAGTGCTTTAGGGAGAAGCCATGGATGATGGTGGTTGAATGCATATTAGGCTGTGGTGACATCAGTATGCATGTGGTGGATTACTTGGGGAGATTTGTACAAGTGGTTTTACGAAAATTGACTATGGTCAGAAATCTTATATGTAGAAAAGACTTGTTTTCTGCAGAGAAGTAAGACAAAAAAACAAAAAAAATGAGAGAGCGAAGCAGCAGAAGGAAGATGCAAACCTGTTCCCTCAGGCGCTTCTCTTCGTATCTTGTGCGCTCGTTGTTGACTTTGCCCAATCTCTCATTGATTTTCTTCTGTTGTGCAGGGCCCCGGCCAAAGAACACATAATTTACAAAGGCATATTCAAGCAGGGCCAGGAACACGAACACAAAACAGCCCATGAGGTAGACGTCGATGGCTTTCACGTAAGGAATCTTTGGGAGGGTCTCCCTAAGGTGAGTGTTAATTGTGGTCATGGTAAGCACCGTTGTCACACCTTGGGACAAACAAACAAAAATAAATCTCTGTTAGACGCAGAGTTCATGGCCTTGGTAGTCTTTGTTTGTTTATTTCACATATTTGTTTGGCTTTTTATCTCTTCTCTGAAATATTTTCCTTTAAGCTATAAATGGCTTATTAATACAGGTTTTAACAGTTTAGTCTGAAAGCTTATTTCATTTACATTTTCCCAAAGGTAATTATCAAAATGTTAGATACAAACCACAAAACACTTTACCAAGAGAGCACAGGGCTAAAATACAAAATACAAAAAAAATTATACTGATAATTATAGGCAAATTCAGTAACACTGTAGAAAGAAATTTTGTTTGAATCACCTTTTTGGTGTGTTTCTCAAATATGATGCACTTGACAATGTAAATAGAAGGAATGTACGGTAACAGGAAATATGTATCCCCTCCTGTATAAATCTGACCTTTAGGATGGTATGATTTTCGTTTGAGGACATAAGGCTTGAGTTTATTAGGGTTAACAATTGACCAAGCACGGCCCTATAGGTTAAATTCAGAGTTTTACCATTAATTATGAAATAAACAGCCCACTGAAGCCAATTTATTAAAACAGGAGTAATGTAATATTTTCTATTTGTTTTAGTTTAGAATGCGGAAGCAGAGTTTGACCATCTTAGGGTGATCGTGGGCTTTTTCAAGGACTTGTTTTATTTAAGACATGTGAAAAGTGTGTTACTGTATTTTAGATCAATGGGAACATCATGTAGAAATATCTGAGATTTATGGTTAAATATGAATTTTCTTTATTTCAAAATATTCTCAAGAGCCAAGGACAATAGCAAAATCTGTTAAGGGTGGTTTGATTCTGTGTTCCAAAGTTTGATTTTTTGCTTCATCAGTGGTGCCATGCCATTAGTGGGAAATTATTGGACACTTGGAAAGTTCAAAGAGTAAAGCTAAATGGAGTTTTCGTTAAACTCTTTTAAATTATTTTCCAGTGACCAGAGAGTTTGGAAAACTGCTTGAAGGAGAAGTACAGTGAATGCCTTAAATTGTAAAAACTATTATATTCAAAGGGTTTTTTGGACTGAACTTTATCACCAATACAAATGTACAAATTCAAGGGATGCAGACACTTAATCCAGGGACTATATCCCTGACTTAGACACAAAGGAAACTTTAGAATTGTGTTGTCTTTTAACACCACAGAAAAGTTGGTCATTTTCTGCTACATTGACTGCAGCATCATGAACTGTTTCTCTCCCTCTTCATGACCTCTGACATGATACAAAATGTCTTCCGCAACATCCCTATCACCTATCTAGACAAGTAATGCTTAGGTTTGTTTACATAGATCATTTTATAAATAGTATTTTATTAGTCTGTGTAGGATATAGATTTTACATAGGCCTAATTTCGAGCATAATAGCGATCTCTACAATTACTACTTTTTCAGCTCTACCTGTCGTAGCTCAAAGATGTCTGCCTCCATAAATACAAGACCCAGATTTATTAGGGCAATTATATAAATAGCAACTTCTACGGCAACGCAAACATAAAATATATTGCATTACAGTAAATCCCTGGAATTAGAAGTAGTATTTGTTCTATTAGAGATACAATGCCAACATCAGCAGTAAAACAAGAATAGCAGAACATGTGGGAGACTATCAAGCTATTGCTTTTGACAAATTACAGTTTCCAATATTAAAACTGGTATCTGGAGATGGCATTATTAGTAAAAAAATTATTTATTTGGACAATTAGACATAGACTCACTTCTAGTAGGAGTGGAAGTATCACTTGGTTAAGTTTCTTTTAGGGTTATTAATCAGCCCACACAATGTAAAATATTAGGGTGGATTACAGTGTGGATTTCCCTGCTGTTCCATTTTTCTTTTTTTTTTTTTTAAAACAAAAGCCAATTTGTGGCAACATCAAACAGAGGCAAGGAAAATTCAAAATGAGAAACACAGCGAAATGAAATTAAAGAGAGTTGCTTGTAACCTGCAGCTACATGTTCACAGCGTTTACTTGCTTATTTTGCGCCCATAAATGTAGATGTGTGTAGTAACATTTGCACGTGTGACAGCTGTGTTTTGTTTGTTTCTGTGATAATGAGTGGATTCTTATGGGGGCAGTAAGAAGTTTAATAATGTAGCAGAGACTGTGTCTTACCGAGGGCCACACGAGCTGCAGAGGCATCATAATTGATCCAGAAGGAGACCCAGGAGAGGATGGTGATCAAGATGGAGGGCATATATGTCTGCAAGATGAAATAGCCAATGTTCCTCTTAATCCGGAAACTCAATGAAAGCCTCGGATATGAACCTGGTGGAATAGAATAGAGTGATATCTTAGAAAAATCAAAGGAAAAGAAGAAAAACAATCAGAAAGAAAGAAAGAAAGAAAAAGAAAGAAACAAAGAAAGAAAGAAAAAGAAGAAATGTCAACACAAGTCAAGACTTCCAAAGTCTGCACTTTGACAACGCACAGGGTAGTCATTTCTCCATTTGTTCAGATGGAGCAGTTAATTTCCCCAAAGCGATAGATTCCTTTCCAGGGACAAGTTCGATTCCAATTAAACATGGCAGAAAGTCGCAAACACGGCACATTTTTCTGCAAGCCCCTATCTCAGCAGGCAGCTCCAGCATCCCTCTGAGAATTGTCACAGCGAGCTGCTTCTGCTTTTCTTTTGCACTTTCTCTGTCCTATAAACATTACCAAATGAGCATTTAAAAATTGGACGACTGCTGCCCATGCCATTACTTCAGAGTAATATGGCATATATACACAGTAAATGAATCTGGGGAAATTTTGCACCAAGATTCTTGCTCTTGTGTCAATTAAAAGTACAGTCTTAAGTTTGAGCTAAAAACATTACATTCTCAACCTTATATATATATTTTTTTCCATTGATGGTTATGTTTTCATTTTAGGATATTCAGACATTAAATGACGTTACCTGTAGTAAACCTGACCTCCCTCGACACCAAGCGGATGTCCACAATGGAGAACTGAGGTAACTCCAACTTGTCGACCCCGGTCACAGCGTTGTCGTCTCCTTGCCAAAAAAATACGATGTCATCTGTTGTATATCCATCTGTGTTAGAGTGCAAACAAAACAAAAGAGAAAGAAGAAGGGGGAATTACTTTATGATGAAGGCTTTATCTGTTCCTTGAGTATGGAAATTACATCAGAACATTGAATCTTTTATCGGTAAAGCTTGGTGGTTTTCACATAGCTGGCTGTTTAAAACACTATAGGCTGATTAAAGAATAGTTATGGTAAATACTCTATGTTGAAGATAGAGATTGCAATCTGACAGGCTTCCATGGTGTGGCCGGTTTTTTAGCCCTGTGGGATGAGAAATGTTTATTTAGAGCTAAAATCAGCATTTCACTTAAATTGGCCTTATACAGTATGTCTTGAATCGTTGCTGCCAGCTTTTATACTAATTTTGTACCTGTAACATTACCGAAATTATGCTGTATGCAAATGATTTCTTCCTTCTGACCTTATCCAAAGAGGACCCTAAGAAAGGCTTGGAGCAGTTTGTAGCTGAGTGCAAGATGATGACCTTAATAATGTCCTGCTGCCTCAAAAGGAAGGGAACAAGTATGCATATTTACAGCTAAAACAAAGCATTGGACATGAATCCAAACTATAAAACCTTCATTGATATACAGTATGTTCAGTATATAAATAAGGCATAGCAAAGAGAAAATAAACTAAGACAAACAAGGTCAAACTAAGTCTCAACAATGTTGAAAGCTATGGAATAAAGGTTTTTTTTTTAAAGTACACAATGAAAGAGCCTCTAATGTGAAGGATTCTTTCAGAAATAAGGTGCCTCCTTTCCCTCATCTCTGTATTGGCAAGAGCTGCTGAGCAGCTGACCTGTGATGCCGATGGGGTAAGTCGGGATGGAAGCGCAGGGAGGTAAGGCAGCGTAAGGTAATTCAAAGATTTGAGGTAAAATAGGAACTCTAAAATGCACACGCTGCTGGTGGAGCCAGTAGAGCTACAGTCCAACACTTAGCTTTTGGTCATAAACGATGAATAACAAACAAAAGAACAAGGCTGCAGAAACTTTCGGCTATTTGTCAAGGTTGCCCATTAAAACAGAAAATTGAGCATTGTTTGGTTTGAGATGAACTCAGAGTAGAGTCACAGTTCCAAACATTTTTCCAAAGATACCAATAGAGGAGGTTTGTTCCATCTGGAAGGGGGCCTTTTCTAAGGCAGTGCTTTGGCTGGAAGCCACCTAGAGTAGATCTCAGAGCAAAGCCAGGATTTGGCGAGGAAAGCCAACTGTTTGTGTTGCTTGACAATGTCTTAGAGCAGGGGTCACCAGAGTGGTGCCCGCGGGCACCAAGGGGCCCTGAGGGACCATACGGGGCACTCAGCATCTTCTGAAAAAAGAGCAACTCCCCATTAGACTAAGTTTAAAATTTTATTTATGCTGCTTCTTTTATTGTTTATCATTCATAGAGTATTTTCTCATATTAATTATTTAAAACAGTTAAGTATTTATAGGGATTTATAAATGGCAATAACTTAAAGCAAATTAGAATTAGAAGTTTATTATCTATCCTCCAATTCATAAGTCAGTATTGGCCTATCCTATGTCCTAATGAGGTTGGTGACCCCTGAGTCATTTAGAGTTATTTAGGAGTGATAGCTGGTAAGAAAAAAAAAGTCTCTATATGACTGATGTAAGTCATGCATGTTTATGACCAATGGATGGTAGTTATAAATATTATTATTATTACTATTATTATTATTATTATTATTACATAATAAAAATACCAATAAAAATAAAGCCCCTGCTTTCCTCTATGGCAAACTTTTAATAGCATTAAACCATGATGTCATATCAATATAATTCTCATAGCAATCATTGTGCACTTATCATTTTAAATGTTCATAGTTGCGGGAAAGTGGAATTAAAGGAGCGCTGGGGAAACACAAACCGTCCAATGCGTACAATTTTCTAGAACAGGTCAAGCTCAGACCTAAATCTGTCAGGCTACAATTGCATGCTCCACTCTCCAGACTCCCATGAAGCTATATCACTGCATGTATTACGACCAGCATGAATATTCATTAACATGTGTCACATGCAACAACGCTGCCATGCATTCTCTACTGGCAATGCAATTGAAAGTGACTACAGCAGTAGATTTATGAGAATAAGCTAGCACGCACTTGATGCAGAGCTTTTTCTCAATCGGGGTAAGTGTTACCACATATCACATCCGCAGCCCTACATCCAGACCTGTGTGGCATTAAACCTACTACAGGACTAGGATTCATTACTATTAAATCTCTCTGAGAGGTTATAGAGTAAGAAAATGTGACATTGTCCATGAAATTGAAGCAACTGACTGCCTAATCCATCAAACCGTGGTTAATGCGCACCAGTCACTAGTGCAAAGCACTCCATGAGGATAAACAGCAGATATTCTGCAACTTTTTAATTCATGGCCTGTCTATATTTCATTGCTTACTCCAGCGCCCCAGAGGTAGCAGTCTGCACTTCTCATGCTGAATAGCCTGTACCAGAAAAAATCTGATGTATTGAGCAAGTCCGCATGACTGATGGCGTGATCATTGAAAATGATCACACAAATGCAGTTTCTAATTACAAAACAAGCTTTTTCTTCTTGAAAAATTAACGATTTATCCACCTGAACCTGAAAATGTCTTGAGGCATTATTCCTCAGTGGTTCTGAGAAAATATTAATCTATGATTACAGTTTGGAAAACTCAGTGTTGAGTTAGTAAATGGGAGGACATTTCATGACGGTACTTAAAACTTGTGGGGGCATTTACATATTATAGCAATCGCAGTTGATTTTAAAACAGTTGCATACATATATAATATAACCCAGAACAATGCAGAGATAAGTTGCATTTATTTAAGGCATTAATGGATTAATGAGGCCTTTTAAATTATTCGTCCTTTTCACAATGCTTCAGGCTTACAAGACACACCTAGTTCACGTTCAGCAATACTTATACTGACAGGGAAACTCATTAAAAATACATTTCTTACAGTGCCTTTCAATGTTTTTTATGTACATTAATCTTCTTTAAATCTGGTCATGTTACAAACCAAACTAGCACAGGAATATTGAAGCATGCTTGTTTAAAATTGTTTGAGGTTAATTTTTTACACTCTGGACCTCTGTCATCCAATCCCCGTCATAATAAAACTTGGCTTTGGTGAAAATATGGTTAGATGGATTAAAACCTATTTAACAAAACACATCCAGTTTGTTTGATGGGATTCGTTTTTGTCAGATCTGGTCACAATGAGCAAGGGGGACCCACTATAGGCTATTTGGGTGCACCAGCTCCTCTAACCCTAGATAAATCAAATATCTGACAAGCTTAACTTCTTCTCTTTTATCTTATGGACGCTGATAAGAGCTTTATACACATTGCATGATACCCATACAGAGTCAGGAAAGATAGGTCTGTCTTATTTTGGCCCATGGTTTTAGAATCATCTGCAGTTGAGATTAAACTTTTAATTTCTGTAACTATTTTCAAGCAAACGATCAGAGGTTTCAGACAAATCTTTCACACATATTTAGGTGCAGACACACTTACAGAAACACTAACATTTAAATGTTTTATTCTCTCGGTTTTATTGTTTAATACTTTGTTGTTTTTGTTAACGATCTAGCAAAAGAAATACAAACAATTAAGTGTTTCATTTAGTGTATTATTATTTTATGCTTTGTTTTTTTGGGGGGTGAGTGATCCTAAAATACTGCTAATTTTTGTAAATGTAATGGCTTGTTTGCCTTTTACATTGTGCTTTGCCAGGGCATCCTTCTCAATGGATTTATATTTTTCCTGGCAAAATAAAGTTTAAGAAAAAAAAGTTACAATCCCTTTATATTGGGACCCAAAAATAAAACATTGGCAGCCAATTCCTCTTTCATCCAAGCACAGCTCAGTATATACTTAGTAGAGTTGCCACTATATGAAGAAGAATTTCTATTATATTGGTGAATGGTATGAACTGGATGGATGGATTTTTTTAGGAAGAGTGATATTTAGATTCTGGTTTATGTTTTTTTTTTAAAGAGTAATTTGGTTAAGAAGCCAAGAGACTCTAGTTATCTCTTGAGGAGCTTCAGAAATACACAGTCATGTTGGCGAAATCTGACAACTTAATGTGAAAAGTTTGTGAAGCCCATAACTTTGGCCTATACAGAAAAAGTTAATCGCTAGAAGAAAGCAAGAAGTCCTGTTTTCACATAGACACAGGCCGTACAGGGGGAATGTAGCAAATGTGGCAGAAAATAAACATTATACAAGCAATACTAAAATAAAACCTATTTGATGCTTTAAGAGCTTAAGGGATGAGGCAGAACTATACTTTCAAGCAGAGCTCATCTTTCCTGGACAAAGGCATCTAGTATGGAGCTAGTTTATTCTGTTATTACAGCTGCCAAACCATTGGGAGTGTCATGAGACTTTAGATTTTGTCTGAGAATGCAACTTACAAGCCAAGGGAGATCAAACACTTGCCAGCAGCCGCATTGCTAAGCAACAGACAGCATAACAACTATAATTTCGCATTACTACCATAGTGGCTTGCTAAGTACAAAGAGATGTATGCTTTCTGCATTTGGGTTGTACCAAGTGCGGTTTATATCTAAACCTGTAGCAAACAGTACCAGGGTCCATTTGAAAGCAAACAATGACTACCTGAAAATAGGGTCTTGGTCCATTTGTTTGGTCTGAACCAGAATTTGCTGGTCTGCTTTCATACCCACACAAAAGTTCCAGACCAAGGGGGGGAAAGAAATTTTGGCTTGTTTAAGGAACCCAAATGTGTTAAATGTGAATACGAATAAGTAAATTGTAACCAATTTGTTTGTATGATGCGATTGAATTGGCTTTGTGAAACGTCTTGAAATGTCTTTTGACTTAAAGTTATAGAAATGAACTGGCATTAAATAAACATTGGCTGCACAGTGGTGCAGTTTGTAGGTTCTTGGTTCGATTCTTTCTGTATGGAATTGGAATATTCTCCCCATCCATGTGGGGTCTCTCTCAAGCTGTTAAAAACATCGCAGTTATGTTAAATGGCTTCTCTAAACAGGAAAAAATTACTTTGATCCAAAATGATCAGATAAAACTTAGCAAAGCTCATACACGGTTGTTGGTGATTTTGTCCTAAGAGCCCAAAGAGGAATTTAAATGCCAGACACAATGAAAGTTTGCACAATCCTCAAAGAAAGGCTATCCTTTCTAACAAAGTCTGACATATTATGCGCTGAACATTTGTTAAACTGGTGTCCTCAAACTGTAGAATGACTACATGTGGTTCAGCCACAAACATGTCATACGCTTCCATAGGTTCATGAAAATAAAAATCAATTTGAACGAAGAGACAAAATGTTCAGTGAAATATGAAAAACTTACAGCTTTCAATTTCCAGAGTGCAGTTCTGTTCATCAAGAGGGTACCTCCTTAAATCCATCATGCAGGCAGCAGTAGTTGTTATTCTAAGGACAGAGTAGAAAGACATGAAGTTACGGGTCAACATGTAGAGTGATGATATCAGCAAGAGATCAGTCTTCAGCGACATTAATTTACAATAACAGTGCTTACAGGACTCAAAACTAATGATTTCGATGTTTGTTCAAAATATGCCTATAGAAATTGGACAATACAACATTTCAATGGATTTGAGTTGGTGGGAAAACTTTATTATTTTAAAGTAATGGTATCTCCAAGTTCTCTTCTATATGGAATATTTAGCATTCTCAAAAAAGTCTAGTAATGTACCGTTTTCTTATATACAGCCCATATCGCTTTGCTTCAGTTTTATTTCTTGACAGCTTTTATTTATTGCCACTGTCGAGAAGCGGATTTCTGCAAGGTAGCCTTAGAAAAGATGTATGCATAGCAGTTTATTAGTGTCAGTAATAATTTCCAGCCGCCTCGGAAAAAAACAGCTTTTGCAACAAATTACGCATATAGGGGGTCCTTTGCATTTAGCTGAGACATTTACCCGTACAGCAAATTTAAGCAATTACATTTTTTGCTGTTGATGCCAGTTGCTATGTGTTCATCATACTGACTCTCATTAACTTCCTGCCCTCTCTTGCTATTCCTTTAAGAATGTATTACAAAAAAAATACAAATTTCGATGTGCACAACATGCATCTTTTTTATGTGTATAGGTCATTACACAAGCCATATAAAGTTTTACTCTTCACAGAGTGCAACTCATTTTTTTTCAATCATGCAAGCTACAAATATAAAGTTTTAAGGTTTTACATTGGTGCAGTAAACAAATGTACACAGCCATGTACAATACCCTGAATTACTAATGCAAGAGATAATAAGCTGTTTGCCTTGTAAAATATTGCTCGAATACAGAGTCTGTAAATTGTTCACGGTGGCTTGCCCATAGTTCTGTCGGCAGGTAATTGGAAAACAAAATATGTTCCTCTGAAACTGATTCGGGCAGATTTATGCAGAGGCATGTACGCCTTCTGTGACCATGATGAGAAAAAAAGGCTCTATGAAGTCAAAAGACATTAATGCATGAACCAAAAAGTGTGACAGGTATGAGATGCATTCTGCTGCACAAGCACAAAGCTGCTCAAACTGCATTCGGTTCTGCTCTCCTGCACTGCACCCTCCTGCTGCCTCTTGGTGTCTACCTGCTAAGAGCTACTATTGTTGCCCATTGTGAAGAGACAAAGCCTAATTACATTAATAACAAAGGTTACTCGGCAAACATGATTTAAGGCTAAAAGTTTGACTAAAGCATATATATATTTTAAGAGTTGGCATGTATTAGACTCTGAAAAGATGAGGGCCCATTTTGTTTTCTAAATCACTCATTCATTGTTACTCTTTGAGAAAAGCTTGAAGAAGGCTAAGAAAGGTTCATAGGTTAAGCTGAATGTTCTTTGCTATAATAATAACCCTAATTAAGTAATCCCACATATATAATGGGGGATATAACAAAGAAACCCATAAAGTTTAAAAAAAGGAAGAAATTTATCCGAAAAATGTAATTGAATTAAATTAATTTCAATTGAAGTTATTTATATAGCACTAACTCACAACACATATCATCTTGAGTTACTTTGCAAAGACAATTCAACCAGATCATACAGTCAGACTGGTTCTAAAGGAAATCTATAATCATCAACATCGTCATTGGATTATTCAGCAAAGGTATCACAACTGCATCTCCAGCCCATAAAAATATAATGGATAAAGATAGCATATTCAAATGTATTTATTATTTTGGATCTTTGTTCAGCAAGATTTCTAATCAAAAACATCTTTTAAAATGTAAAGTTATTGTTGTAAAAAAAAAACAAAATAAAAACCAATATCTATCTTCTAAACATCAAACCAATTTAACAAATCTACAGTCAAAGCTTTCTCCCCCACAAAATCTGATCTATTAGCATTGCCAAGATAAGAAAGTAGTCAGGGTATTTTATGTAAAAAAAATCTCAAAGATATATGTAGTATTGTAGAGTCAAACAAAACAAATGCAGACTCAAATAAATACCAATGTGGTTAACATATGTAGGACTAGCTCTAAAGGATAAATATGGACTATATTAAATGATGCGCAATGGCGACCAGGGTGTACCTAACCTTGCTTACACCTGCTAGACTAGGAGGCAGGTTGAATTTTGTGGATTAAGCAACTATTATATCACAATTGCAATTATCTGTCATTTTAAAAATGTTAATAGTAAACCTAAATGCTGAATGTTTAAGTTTATTTATTAAGTCAAATATGGCTTGTACTATCTTGGTTTAATATATATTTTTGAAGACTTTTTCGTTAAATATTAGTGTTTAGAGTTATAACAACAGTATCTTAATAAGGTAGCAGCGCTCCAGATGTTCACAGTCAATTACTGAAGTACAAACATCAGAAGTCTAATGAAATCGCTGAAAGTCGGCCCCGAGTTTCTTATTCATCAATGTTAGCAATAGGCCTAGCTCTCAAGGTACAAGATAAACAGCAGACCTTAAATTAGATTTAGGTACTAGATCTACCAATCTTAGATTTCGCTTTGTTTACCCTTCTCTTGGTCTTCACATAATATGCAAAGAAGAAGAAATCGACAACACTTTCAGTGTAAACGTCCAGCAATCATTATAAATATGGCTGCACCTCGCAACTGGAGAAGGGTGCCACTTAATTACTACACAGCTAGATCAAAATTTAAGATTTTCCCAGCTGATATTTTCTCTGTTAAAGTAAAAAAAAAGAAATGTTTGGCACTTACCAGTGATTAACTGTAGACACACCATTCTATTTCTAATTACGATTAGCAAGACCACGGTCTCTTTCTTTAGGTGTTGCTAATAATTGTTTGTGAAGCAGCAACCCTGTCTACCACATAATGTGAAAATTAACTTTTTTTTTTACTATAAATCTTCCATTTTATAATTTCTCCTTAATACGCATACAAACCATTCCCCTGATGTAAACAAGTCACAGAATAAATGGAGGACCTCATTGTATTTTCCCCTTTGCCTGGAGGTCTGCATTGACCAACTGGTCCAAGTCTTTTTTCTGATACTTAACAAGTCTTTAAAGCTGTGTGAGGATTCTTCCTATTTCAAATAATTTATCATAATCCAGTGATAATACATCATGACCAATTCAGTTATGTCTACAAAGAGGATTGTTAAGACTGACCTACCCTTTATCCATTTACCCTTTTTAGGATTTTTACAGATCTAGGGTCAGAAAAAGGTATGCTAACATACCCCAATAACAACTGGAGGTACCTAACGTTTATACTGAAGGAAGCAAAAAGTATTCACTCCCTCACAGATCCTTCTTAAATAAAACAGATCAACAACTGACTATATATCATCAGACAAAGATAACCTGTGTAAATACAAAATGCAGCTGTATATGTAGTTTTTTTTCAAACCTATGATCTCTTCCTGTTAAGCCATCTATCAAATGTGATTAGCCAGTTTTTGGCTCAATTCTTGCAGATAAGGCCAGTCGTAAACTGTTAGATCTGCAGGATCATAGGACTCCTTAAATAGAGCTCAGCTGAAATTAACAAGTAGGAAAATCCATTACCAAAAGCAACACTTCTTGTCCCGTCTAATGATATTCATGAGCAGATAAGTCTGGATTGCAGTCGATCAAATTGATCAGTTGGGAAGGGCTTAGAAAAAATCTTTACACCACCACACCCACTGTTCACTTTTCAGAAGCATACAGGATTTGATGTGTCAATCTGTGCCAACCTGACATAACAAAAAAGTAAAAAAAAAACAAAAACACTGGACTTTCCTTTCCAAGTTTGATGACATTTCGCTTCCCACCCAGAAACTTTTCTTAATTCAAAATGTCTAAAGTAGCGTTAAGTTCCAGGCTTTACAGGGTAGCCCAAAAAAAAAACCTTGTTATGGCTTAGGAAACATGCAAATTCAAACAAAAACAATTACAGTTACCTCTAACGGTACTGAAATTCTCTGTCTACTTGTATAACATTTATGTTTATGATTTTGCAAAAAAAAAAAAAGAGCAAATCTGAACCAAGATTCATATGGAACAAATCTCTGCAAATGTTTCCCCAAGGGAAAAGAAGAAAGTAAACTATTAACGACTTTGCAATACATTATCTCATACACCGTTTCCATTTAGTCTAAAAGCAAAATTCCAAACATCTTGATGCTAGGTGGGGAAAAAAGGCAGAAGAATCAGAGACAGCTGCATGAAGCAGTGGACAAGAAAGAATGCTTGGATCCCCTGGCAGAAGCACAGCGGAAATAAAACTGACTTTATATGTGGCAGTTAACAAGTCAGGAGAGAGTCATCACTTGAGCAGACTCGAGTTGGGACAGCTCGCAGCAAAGGGTTTGGGATTTGAACTTGTCAGCAGATGTAGGTCAGCAAATTACAGTCCCATCAGAGCTGATCCACAGTCTCCGACCTGGGCAACACAGCTGTCCGATGCTCAGGACATTTTACCTTTGTATATTTCAAGATGTTGGAGATTTGTATGTGGATCCAAAGACAGTCTCATGAAAAACAACTCATAAACAGATGCATTAACACAAATTAAGGCCTAACACCCATGGGGGAGAACAGCTAAGTGGGGTATGGTCTCAAGAAATTCAGGGACTTTACATTAGAAATGCAGCACTGAACTTTACCATGACTCGGTTGGCATGCTCAACCAAGTTTTTTTTTTTTTTTTCTTTTTTTCTAGTGTTTAATCAATGTTTGAATCCCACGCAGTCTATTTCTGTAGTCGTCTTTGTGTGGTTGCTTCCCTACCACAGAAGATCATTGTACTATTAGAGGCACTTGGCTTCATAAACACAGGAAAAAAGAGAACAGAGTCTGGAATAGATAAAAAGAAAACACAATCTGGTCAGAGCTTAGCTCAACAAAGCCTCCAATGCTCTCAGGGCCCACTACATTATCAAACAAGCTCCATCAGTCTGCTAATGATGAGTCAGCTTCTCATTTCACAGGCAAGGTAGG